AAGAAGACACAAACTTATTATTGATTTGCCTATTAAGTGAGTAAAGGGAAACAGGTGTGGTTAATATATTTCTTAAAGAGTAAAAAAAAGACCTTTGGCTAAAGTCCCCTCCCCTCTCAGACTCTAAGCCCTGCCTGGCTTAACACCATTTCTGTTTAACAGTAGGCTGATGACCCTTATCAATAGCCAGAGGATCTGAGTCACCAGTGTCGAGCAATTATCAGGATTTGAGGAAGAGGGCCTTTTTTCCAAAGAAAGAAGGGAAGAAAACTTTAGGTTCACTAAAAAGATTAACTCTGCAAGAGATGTCCTATTTCATTTTCTGCTAAAAGATTAAGAATTTTACAAGTGATGTCCCATCTCAGGGAAATATGATGTCTCCTGCTTTAAATCCATTAAATTTTTTTTTTCCCTGATCGTCTCCAAACAGTATGAGAAAGTAGAAAACTAGTTGCCTAAAGCCAAAGAGGCTTGCTTCGTTTTATTAAATCTACTGTGAGGATGAAGAATTGGTTGGCAACTTTTTAAAATTAAAAACCTATTTAAAAAGTTATAGCTTGAGAATTCTGTAGCATCTCGTGAGTAGGCCATTATAATTATTCAGAAACTGCTGGTTGCTTTTATGGATTATCTAGGTCCTTGCTTCTCTCCCTACTCAATCCCCATTGTGATGGTTTATCTTGTCTGTCACTTGCTTTCTTTCTTCACTCTCTCCTTTCCTTCTTTCTCAATATTTATTAACCTGCCATTTCATGTCAGGAACTGTGCTAAGCATTGGGAATGAAAACAAAAAGGAAGATGGACTTGTAGCTCCCTCAAATTAGTACACCATTTTGGGGGCAGTGTTCTGAGAAATGAACCTTTTGGGAGTGAGTGAAATGGTGGAGTGGGACTGGGAGGGTTAGGGGAGGTGTCTTGGAAAGGTGAAGCTTGGATGAGCCTTAAATAAAATAGAGTTCCTTCAACAAACAAGGGCAGCGAGAACATTCTAGAGATAGAGAATACCATGTGAAAAGGCACATAGGTGAGAAAGAATCCAAGGAAAGATGGGCTTGTGTGACTGGAGCCTGGGAACTTGTGGAGAAGAGGCAGAGGCTAGAGAGGGAAGTAGAAGCCAGATCCTGAAGGGGCTTCCATTAGTATAATTTCTCCATCATTATGTGGATAGTGAATCAGGCCGCTGAAGCTCTGTTATTCTGTGTTGTTACTTGTTAAGTTTAGCAGGATAGCTATGTATATAACTCTGGATAAAGTAGGCACCATCTTCCCACATCACCCGTCCATTTTCTAGTTGGCTGTCACTCTTGAGGATTTTTAACTCTTTGAGAATCATTAGAACCTTTAGGTCCCTTTAGTAGATAGTTTCTATCATTTGGTATGCTGGACTTCTTGCCTGGTGACACTCTGATTGTGTCTCAGGGTCAGGTGCTCCAGGGTCACCAGACGTCATTGATGCAAATGTGAGAAGACTACTCAGATAGGTTGGATCAATTCAGCAAAAAGCCTGCTATTAGAAGAAAGACAATATATAAAAATCAAAGCCTTACTAAGGAGAAATAATTCAAATTCATAGTCCACTAAAGCAAATACACTTTGAACTCACTAACTTACCAAGAAATTCTTCCTGTTGTATGAGAAAATAAATTGCTTTTCTATTGCTCTCACTCACAATCCTCCTAATTGTTTATCATACAGAATTATCTATAGTCAACTTGGATGAAGCAGCAGAAAAATTTAGATTGATTTATTAGTGAGATGGTATAATAAATCTCTACCAAACATACTAAACTTATGAGGACATTGGAGCTCACTGTTTGAAGTTCTTTTCCCAAATGTCATATACTTAAATGTCATATCTTAATTCTTTTCCTCAGGTTCAATTAGCAGAATTTCTAGAAAATTTACAAGAAAAGTCCTTGAGGATTGAAGCTTTTGTTAGTGAGATAGAATCTTTTTTTAATACCATTGAGGTAAGTTACCATGTCCCTTTTACTTTGGTTTGTTCACGGGCCTCACAAGTAAATGATTCTGAGCTAAAAGGATGTGAATAGGGGTTTGTATGTGCATGTGTGGTTTGCCATTGTTGCTTTTGTTTCATTAAATATGAAGGTCCTTAAAGTCTTTCATCTTTGTGTAATCTGTGATACTACTTTCTTTCTAATGATAAATGATTTCCCTTTAAACACACATAACATATTTATTGGGCACTTACTATGGTAAGGCAAATGCTTTACATGCCTATCCAATTTTATCTTCTCAATAGCCACATGAGATAGGTGTTATTGTTATTTCCATTTTATAGATAAGAAACTGAGACTTAGAGTTAAGTATATTACCCAAGGTCATAGTAAGTTAAGAGACAAGATTTGAATTCAGGTCTGAGTTCTTGCTCCACCATTCTGCCTTTCACTGGGTTAGCTCTGCAGAAATGCTCTAAGTCACTGCCCAAAGTCCCATGCCTAGGACGAATGAGTATCTCTCATGGTGCTATTGTCTTCGATGTGATCATGCCCTCATAACTGCTGGCCCTTGCTCCCTCTGCAGTGAAGAGAGGGCAAAGCAATGCTCCATCTGTATACAGAGATGGCCCAGGCGTCCCCACTTGTCAATTAGGAATGGCAGAGGGCCCCTGCAGAAGGCTGGTGCACAGTTTTCTTATCACTAGGGCAACTCCACATCCTAATTTGCTTGTGAGACTTTTGCTTAACAACTCCAGTCATAGGTGAAATTAACACTTGGTAATTACTTTTAGTGCCTCCCCACTCAAAGTGTCCCTTTTAGACAGTAAATTATATGATCACCTTATCACTAGCCCTCTAGTGATGACAGCCAGGCATCTGGGTTTGTCCAGATGAGCATTAAAGTTTCTCCTGGGAAGCTGACCCCTCCCAGGAGAGCATTTATGAATGTAGTACCCTGTCCAATATCCTGGTTGCTACCCGCCTCTATGATTTTAGTGGAGTGGCAAAAATAGCACTAAGCCCTCTTCACTACCTGAAGGCCATGGGTCTCCGTTCACTGTGATGTCATTTTCAAGTTTTATCACGTGGGAAAGCAGGTGGGCTAGACTTCCATACAAATATCTTTGTGTGTGTGTGTTTCATTAAATAATCTTTCTTGAGGATGCTGTTACAGCGAATTTTATTACAAAGATAACTATGTCAAGGGGCGGGGGGTTGGTGGGTTGAAAATTTAGACTGTGCATAAAATCTGATTCTCTTATCAGGATGCCCGAGGTCAATTCTTTAAAAGGCTGGTGTTTCTCTATAAAAAGAAAAAGAAAAGAAAAAGAAAAAGATATGTACTTCTTATTTCATTCAGAGGTTTTTTTGTTTTATTTTGTTTTAGGAAAATTGTAGTAAAAATGAGAAAAAACTAGAAGAACAGAATGAAGAAATGATGAAGAAAGTTTTAGCACAGTATGATGAGAAAGCCCAGAGCTTTGAGGAAGTAAAGAAAAAGAAAATGGAATTCCTGCATGACCAGATGGTCCACTTTCTGCAGAGCATGGACACTGCCAAGGACACCCTGGAGACCATCGTGAGAGAAGCAGAGGAGCTTGATGAGACTGTTTTCCTAACCGTAAGCACCAATTAAAATAGGCCCAAATACCTTGCACCCACTTTGGCCCAAGTCTACCTTTAAAAATTTGTCATTCAGTATTCCCTAAGGTCATATATATCTCTATGGGGTTTCTACAGTTCTGACATTTAAAAATTATTGGAGCATGCCTGATGCCTATGGAAAAGGCCCGGCAAATCCTTAAAACCCAGATCCAGCTGAAGGATACATAAAAATCAGGCCACAGCATCATCTGTCTGTTCTGTCACAATGGATTGGTCACCTTCTAAGAGGAAAGAAAAGCAAACTGAAAACCTTATTTATGCCATGCTCTCTTTGGGGGCCAGCTTGATCTCCCACAGCCTGGCATCATCATACTGGCCCCTGGGCCTGTCGTCTTCACTGCTCCCTAATCTGAAGTGACCTCTCATTAGGAGCATTCTTGCTGAGTTTCACCAAGTGGCAGAGTGTAACATTTTGGTACACTTTCAGCATGCAAAAGAATGACATAATATGATACTTCTCTCAAGCAATATGTTGATGTTTTTATAAGGGTCTTCCTGGGGACCAGATTTCTTAATTCAAACAAGTAACTTATAGACGGAGATTCCCTTGGGAGCTCCTCAGATTGCACCACAGAGGCATCCCTTTGCTCCTCTAATTTCCTAGAACATTCAGTAAGATACTGGTTCTCCATGGAGCCAGGATTATCCAGGACTAATGGAGGTTTTTCCCTGAGGGCAGTCTCAAACCTAATTGTCAAACTGGAGGAAAGGACCATGTTGTGATGAGTGGGACCTCCCTTTCAAAGCTTCCTAGCCTTCTAGTAAAGTTTGGAGACAGAGCAGGGCAAATTGGGGCAATGTTAGGCTTTTGATTTGCCTTTGGGGATACCTCCAGCCAGGGCAAATTTAGGTGAGGTGGACATGGCATCCTCAAAGGAGAGTGAAAATCATTCAGTTGCTTTAGGTTTAATTAAGGCACAGCTTTAATATTTTAAAATTAGGCACCTCTTGTGAAGTGTAACATTAATAAAATGCTTTGTGTTCCCAAAGAACCTTACATATGTTTGATAAGAATATTTTTTTCTCTCTAGGAGAACAAATCCTAAACAAGAAAGCATTTTTTTTCTGCTTATACATCCTTTTTAGGAAATTTGGAAAACACAGAAAAGATAACTACTGATTACATTTTTGGTATATATCCCACATTGAACACATTTAAATCATTTTTGTTGTTTTCAGAGAATTCTATTCTGGAAGCCATTTGTTAATGAATAGAGAGAGGCAAAGCATAAGCAACTCATTGCTGGCTTTGCTGATTATATAGAGTTACAGCAAATCTGGAAATTAAAGCACCCTCCATCCCTGCCTAGACATCCACTCTTCCTAATTTCTTGCTGCCCCAGCTGAAGCCACAAAAGAGAAACAACCTGAGGGGAAGCTGGGAAGTAATGATTTTAGGACATGCATAACTTTGACATTCTAGGTTGGTTTTTCTTTTTGTCGTTAATTTCTCTCTCTCTTTTTCTCTCTCTCTTTTTCTCTCTCATAAGTCATTTGAGGAAATCAATGAAAGGTATATAAAACATGGCACAATGTAGTGGCGCCTGAAAATAGCATGACTGTATGCTTTATTTTTAATATTTTGATGCTTTATAGAAAATGAGCTGCCAATTAAAACAACAAATACATTTAGTGAGCCACTGGATTTTCACTTTTAGACACAGTGCTTTTCAAAGCTAAATGACAGCTTTGAAAGAAAATTGCATGTGCTTTAGTTAAATAACAATTATCGTAATGAAGGTTTTTAACTGCTTCCTTAAGATGTAGTCTGTATTTTCAACCTATTCTGGACCATCTTTCCTGTCACTGTATACAGAACATTTTGTAGATACTTAGACTTATTAGTTAAATATGAGTGTTTGAAAGAATCATTTATATCTGCCTTTTGTAATTTTATGACTTAATGTAATCTTAATGGAATGTTCTCTCATGTTCTCTTCAAAAGATAAGCATGCATTTTATCTTCTCTTTCTGATCAGCTAACCTAAATCAGTCTTCCTTTATTGATGTGTTTGTTTTTGCTGTTGTTTTTAACACTCAATCTAAGAGAAATTCTTCATTCTTTGAAAAGGCAAAACACTCAACAAGAAATTCAGAAATGTTGTCTATAAAAACGTATAACATCGGATCTCTGTTTATCCTTTGGAGCTTCTGATATTAAAATGCTTATACTGATCTGACACATTTTCTCTTTTGTTCCATAGCAACACCTGAAGTCTTTCCTACTGCTTGAGCCTAACGTTTTAATCTTTTTTACTCCCTTTAATATAAATTTCTAAAATTGTAAATATTACCTTCAGTTTACTTCAATGTCAGATTATGAACTAGCATAAAGTAAAATCAGAAGTTTGTATTTGTGATATATTAAAATATAGAAAAATGGGTCAGGATTAGAAATCTGATTTTTTTAGATAATGAAAACTACACAGATGAATCTTATTTACCTTTAAAAAAATCTGTTCAATGGAATATTGCCAATAAGTTTTAAGAAAACAATTTGTATATTAATATTGGCATTACTCAGTAATGGTTTTAGTACAGTGACTCTGTTACAAGTAGAAATACCCAGGGAGCTTTTAAAAATGCTGATGCCTGCATCTTACCTCCCGAGATTCTGGTTTAATTGGTCTAGGGAGAGGCCTGGGCATTTTTAAAGCTTCCTAGGTGATTTTAATGCACACAGCCAAGGCTGAGAACCTCTGGTTTACAACAACCTATCCCCTGGCCCAGTGGTTTCCAAAACTGTCTGTGCCTAAATTAACCGTGCAGTTTGTGAAACTGAAGCTCGTGGAACCTCAGCCTAGATCCACTGCATGCTTAGCCCATGCTCAAGGCGTCTGCACGTTCACCAGTTCACATGCAGGAGCCTGGGGCACACTAGGCAGTCTAGAAACTGATAACCAGGCCTTGCTCCCAGTTTCCTTTGTTTTTTAAAAATTATGCTTTTCTTCTACATATTATTGATACTTATTTTTATCCAAAAGTATATGAATTTGTAGTGCCATTCTTTATACAGTGGACAGTGTAGATGCATATTTGTTTATTTATATTTCATCCACTCACTAATTGCAAGGAAAATTTGGTGAATGAAAATTTGCAAGTGCTTTTACCTTAAAAAATGCTATGGCACATTTTTACTTTTCTAAACATTAGAATATTAACTTGCTAATATGAATTGACACCCATTTAATTCTAAATACCATTTCTTTAGTCTTGTGCTTGAACTGTTCATCTGCGTGTCATTGTAATTAATTTTTATTTCATTGTCCAATGGACAATGAATTAATCTTTGCTAAAGCTGCATGTAACCTAAAGGAGGTTACACTTGGGATAACCAGTAAAGAAAAAAGACAACATAATTTGGGATTTGGTGAAGAAATATGATAAAAACAAAAAACAAAAAACAAACCCTGTTAAACATGCATACATGTGATGAAACTTGCCCATTTCACTAAGAAGTCTTTCATGTTCTCAAGGCAACTTCTTCCTCAAAGTCTCAATGTTATTGGTATTCCTTTCTATGAGAAGTGCTAATTATCTGGATTTTTTTTTACCTTGTTGCTTTTTCTGCTTTTATATTATATCTCTAAAGGCAGTGTTTGTATAGTAAATGATTATTCTCAACACTGTAAATGCTTAAATTAAGGAATGCTGTCAAGCATATTTAGACTCAAAATTTGCATATTTTGAAAAACACATTTGCTTAGAAATTGCTGTTCTGTCAAGAGAATGCATTCTTTTTCTCTGTTGTGCTCGTTTATGTTAACATAATGAAAAAGACTGACACAACCATTGTTCATAAAAATATGTCCACTTGCCCTTTCATATATTGATGTTAAAATTGAACAGGTCAATGCATAAGGGAAATCTAGAACATTTTACTTATGGTATCTACAACCAGAGTTTTTATACTACAGAAAGTCCTCTAGTCAATGATGTGTATTGAGAGGGCTTAGTATATGTACTAGTTCCTACTGTTTGTTGACTCTGAGTCTATCATTTTCACCCTTTGCAACTCCAAAGCCTTAATTTAGGCTTATGTTGTCTTCCATCATCTGGAGCATTGTGGGGTCCTTCCAGCTGACCTCACTGTTTCTCTGGTCCGCCCGCTCTCATCCTTTCTCAGGTTTGTGCTGGGGCATTTTTCTAAATTTCCCTTGCATAGAAACTGCTGTGACTCTCCCTGCCTGAAAATATAAAATGGAAACTCTAGGTGGATATAAAGGGCTCTTCACAGTCAAGTCACAAACCACCTTTCTATTTCCTCTCTGTCTCCATTTCCTAATTTTCAAGGGAGCCCAGTGTCACCTCTTGCCCTTGAATGTGCCGTACTTTTTCTGAACTCTAGACCTTTATCCAGGCTATTCTAGCTCCAACCTCCTTACCTCGTTTCTGCCTAAAAATCTCCTCCTCATCCTTTAAGACTCAGCCCCATTGTCACCTCCTCTTCAAAGCCCCTATTGGAACCATCTCCCCTAAATCAAATGATAGTAAATTTTATTATTTCTAATACTAGTAAGCATAGTGGGCACTCTTTAAATGTTTTACTTATATTTTATAATCTTTTTCCCTCACATTGATAAAAAAATTTACCGGACTTGAGATCTTGATGTTCTCATCCAAATGAAACTTTGTGCTCTTTCTTATTCATTCAAAATATATTTATTAAATGCCTACTATGTGCTAGGTAACACATTACAATGCAGTAGTGAAGAAAACAAAGTCCTCTCCTGAATGTAGATTATATATTCTGGTGAAGTAGACAGGCAAAAACAAATAGTGTCAAGAAGTAAAATGCAGAAAGGTAAGGGATAGGGGAGATAGGCACCACTATGATTAGTGTGTTCAGGGCTGGCCTCTTGGAGGAGCTGACATTTGAAAAGAGTTCTAAATTAAGTGAGGAAGGACCCATAAAAGTATCTAGGAGAAGAAAGTTCCAACAGCAAGTGCAAAGGCTTAGAGGTGACTGTGCTGCCCATACCAAAAAGTCCATGATCCTGAAGCAGTGGAATTCCTCACAGATGCTTAATAGCTGGAAGATAATTTCAGTCCTCTATGAGGGAGATTCACAGAGAGCTCCTAACCAAAATTTTAAAAAGCTGCAGATAAAGGCTTTTGCAATCTCTCCTTCTCCTTTTCCCTCTTCGGAATCCACCTGTTTTTGTTTTTGTTTTTGTTGCTGCTGTTTTTAGGTCCAGATTTCACCTGCATACAAATGCTAAGAGTTAGTATTTGTTGGCATCCCCCCTTAGATAGTCTTGAGTCTATAAAAGCCATTAATTTATAAACTGTGGTTGTTTAGCCTTTTAAGAATGGATGCACTTTATCCTTCACTGCTGTATCCCTACTACCAAGAACAGTACTTGGCATATAATAGGTGAACATTTTATTTTTGAAAGACTAAATGACTAAATGACTTGGCATATAATAGGTGAACATTTTATTTTTGAAAGACTAAATGACTTGAAGCATGATAGCGAAGGTTGAAAACAGCAAGGAATGTGTGAACTAAATAAAAACAACCATTAAAATGTAGTAATTTTTAGGACCAACTTTATATGTGCAAAAATTAAGATTTGATGGAATCTATTCAGACTCGATGTAGGAATGGAATTTCTAATATTATCAGTTGCACTGAAGAATCCTAAGAATAATTAGAGTTTAGACATATATTCCTAGGCTTTGAAACAGTTTAAACCCTTTTTGGATACAGTGTCTCACAAAACCACCACCACCACCACCAACTTCATTTTGAACCATTATATTTAGTTTTCATTCTGTACGTTAATACTTTCTTGACTTATATGAAATATTTCCTCCTGATAGGTTGCTTTCTGCAATGGAGAGCACTGCTTCGTTAGAGAAAATGCCTGCTGCATTTTCACTTTTTGAACATTATGATGACAGCTCGACGAGAAGTGGCCAGACGTTGAAACAAGTGGCTGGTAGGAATTGTAATATATTACCTTGATGAAATTTGGCAGTTTTTCCTTTCTTGTTTCATAGGGTTTTTGAATGTAAGGAAATGTAACCGGAGAAAGAGAAATCTTAGTTGTAAAAATCTAAAGCTAGATTCTGAAATAAAGCATGAGACTACCATACCATTTCAGTTATAAACTCCTTTTCCATTTGGAGGCTTAAGACTGTGCTGGGATATTGAGGAGGTGGGACGTGTGGCAATGGAACCAAAAGGTCTCCTTTTATTTTCTTTTGTCAAATTGGGTTTCTGTCTCTCTTTTCTAGAGATTATTTGCTTCATACCAACAGCCATGTAGAGAAGGAAAAATAAATCAAATATTTTCATATGTGTTGAACAGATTTTTCCTTATAAGTGGTTTTCCCCTCTTCGATTGAGGCCTTTTTCCTTTTTTTTTTTTTTTTTTCAAACTAAACAGATTAGCTTAGAGAACTCACAGCTCAGCATCATGCTCTGTCTCCAGGAGCCTCCCACTCAGCTGTCAGAAGCATCTTGCCGGCTCTTCAAAATATTTTTTTAATGTGCTATTTTAACAAACAAGACAATGAAACTTATTTAGATTTCTCAAAGCTGCCATGTTTCAGTCAAGTTACCAAGTTTCACTTAACTGTAAAATGTACTCAGATGTCCTCCTTAAAAGATACTACATTCTTTCAAAACCAACTTAAAGACAGTTGCTATTTTAGAATTGACGATTAATTTTCACTTCTGTAGGAAGAATTTTAGTTTAGTAACTAGTTAAAGGCTATTGTGTCTTTAACCCATTTCCTGTTTGCCCCGAGAATACCCTCTGGTGGTGCTTGCGGCTGCAGCGTTTACCCCGAGGTAACTCGTGGATTACAGTCCTAACTTTACCCACAAAGTTTGCCATACTTCTCCCATGCTTTTCAGAGAATTACATCAAAACAGGACTAATGCAGTTGGAACAGCTTGTTTGAACTGAAAACAGTTGTTAAATGATCTGAAAGAAAGGATTGCAAAGGGGATGACTATAGCCAGGTTCTGTGGTGAATTTATGGCACTGAAATGGTGGGACACGGAGGTGACAGTTTCGTCAACATTCTGCAATGATACTTTGATTTAAATAGACAACAGAAATGGAAAGAAAACTAAGGCGCCATGTCATTGTGGATCATAACGAGAATACGGGAGCAGTGGACCTGGCTGATCAGATGCTCACTTCCTATCCAACTGAGTGCAAAAGGCACAAGTGTTGGTATAGGAAGTTCTTTTGCCACCTTCTAAACATTATAGTGCTGCACTCCTACATCCTGTCCAAGAAGGACAGTCCTGAGCACACGATCAGCCATGTAAACTTTAGACTGACGTTGGTTGAAAGAATGCTGGAAAGGCATCACAAGCCAGGGCAGCAACATCTTCGAGGTCATCGGTGCTCTGATGATGTCTCACCTCTTTGCTCGCCTGGAAGACATTTCCCCAGGAGCACACCACCAACATCAGGAAAACAGAATCCAACTGGTTCCTGCAAAGTTTGCTGCTCGCACAACCACCACCACAAGGATCTCAAGGAGACCCAGAGAGAAATACGATATTTTCTGCGGAATGTTCCACTTTGTGGTGTTTGTGGTTTGTGATGTTCCACTTTGTGGTGTTCTGTGCTTTGAAATTTACCAAATGAAAAAAAAATATTAAATACTGATCATCATATACATTTCTGTTACCTTAGGGTTAGGGTCAAGTTCTGTTTAGAAATAACTCCAAGAACAGTTTTTATTTTGTTTTCACACTGAAAACCAGTCAGATTTGCTTCAGCCTCAAAGAGCGTGTTTATGTAAAATTAAATTAATGCTGACAGCAAGTTGTACTTTTTTTTCTAAACAGGAAATGGGTTAAAAAGACCCAAACCCCCATCAACTCTATATAAAGTGAAAAATTCAGTCATTTATCCTAACAGGTTTTCTTTAGAAATGTCTCAAAACAAAAGGGTGTTTTCTTATAATGTCTTTAAGAGGCATTTAAGTAGAGCAGTGATTGCAAACTAAGACATTCTGATGAACAGAGTAGACTTTCTGCTTTTAAGGTATTCATTATATGCTGTTGTTTATTTAGAAGGATATTTGTTTGAATACCTGATGGACAATGAGAGGATATTTGATATATTTGAGAGGTCACAGAGTTAAATTGTCATTAAGTGTTAATGATTCACTGAGAAATAATAGCTGTGGTAGTCTCAGTAGTTCCAAGCCATTTTTGAGAAATTGATCCCTGAGAGAGAAATGCTGTGGGTTGTGTGTCTGATTCACAGAATTGGGGGTCAGGGTGTTGATTCGTTGCTAAATAGTTTTTGTTTATTTTGTGACCAATGACGCCTCTCAGCTATAAAGTTTCCACCTGGTACCTAAAAAGTTAATCTGATCAATCCCTAAACCAAACAGATATAATTAGGAAAGATTGTATAGTTTTCGCTAATGTTTATCCCACACTTACATGATGCCTGGCACTATGGAGACTGTTAAGCATATACTATCATCTAAGCTCACAACAACCTGAGGAGGCAGGTTTTATTATTATTGACAGGCCAGGAAATAGAGAGAACAGAAAAATGTCTCTCATATTGCCCTAGATACACCGCTATTTGGGGTATGGGTAGTGGGGGAGTTTGGCTTCAGAGTCTTTGCACCTGAACCACTGCTCTACACCAAAGAGGTGGAGTGAATTGCTGTTAAAGGAGAGATAACCATACATTAGTGACAACCAAGGCTTCAGTAACTCTGGCTCCTGGGGGCTTTAAAAATCAATTGTGGTAAAATATGCAGAACATAAAATTTACCATTTTAAAGTATACAGTTCAGTGGTATATTAAGTACATTCACATTGTTGTACAGCCGTCACTACCATCCATCTCCAGAATTCTTGTCCTCTTGCAAACCTGAAACTCTGTACCTATTAAATAATAACTCCCCATTCATACCTACCCCCTTCCCCCAACTCTTGGCAACCACCATTATACTTTCTGTCTCTATGAATTTAACTACTCTATGTACCTCGTATAAGTAGAATCATACAGTATTTGTCTTTTGTGACTGGCTTATTTCACTTAGCATAATATCGTCAGTGTTTATCCATATTGTAGCGTGTGTCAGAATTTTTTTTGCCTTTTTAAGGCTGAATAGTATTCCATTCTAAGTCTATACTGCATTTTGTTTATCTATTCACCCATCGATGTACACTTGGGTTCCTTCCACCTTTTGGCTACTGCAAATAGTGCTGCTCTCCTGGGGACTTTTTTGAAAGCCAAATAGAGTGAGAACCTGTATCTGGCCACAGGTTCTGAAATTCTGAGTGTGACGGCAATTATGAGCACACTTCATCAGGCAGAGGGAATCCATGGAAGTGATTCCTCTGCCTAATTTCTTAGCCTCTGGTGAAGAAGCCTTAAAATCCCATTTTGTCATTTTTGGCATTACTCCTATTTATGTTTATCACTACAGAAGTGTAAACAGAGTTGCTAACATATAAAATCTAGGTCTCTAATGTTCATCATCACAGGAATTGTAAATCCAGCCATTGTTATTAGATTACATCTATGAAATATTCCCATTTTAATTTTAGAATACTTTAAAAAGTAAGAGTGCTTCCTGTTTTTGAAAAAAGATGTTCTAACTTTAACGTTTTGGGGGGAAAGAGCACATTAAGTACAAAATTATTTCTAGCCTACATGCTTTGCTTAATTCTCTGCAACTACTTCTCCCTTAATATTTGGTGATGGGAGGAAGGGTCAATTAGCAGTTTTTAAGTTAATTAAGCTACCTGAAAGATATTTTTGAAAAGTCGTTAACATTTTTAAAAAGTAGATATTGCTTAATGTATAATTCATAGAAAGAAAAGGGGAGCATTTTCATTGTTCATGCCTCAAGGAGTTCTCCAGTGCCGTTTCGAAGATGATTGACAATAGTTGAAGCATTCTGCTGGCTCTTTGGTAAACCTGGGCAACATGAAAATTTACTGCACTTCATTTATCTGGATGGACTCCTTTAGGATGTTACACTGATTTC